ATCTCTTCCCACCTCTCCCCACCTCTCCCACCATCTCCGCACCTCTCCCCACTCCTCCCCACCTCTCCCACCATCTCCGCACATCTCCGCACTCCTCCCAACCTCTCCCACCATCTCCGCACATCTCCCCACTCCTCCCCAGGCGGCTCCGTCATCTCGCCCGCCGAGCTGCAGCGCCCCACGCCCGAGGAGCTGGCCGAGCCGATGAGGCTTGACACGCGCGGCGACTCGGGCCGCCAGCGGGGGCAGTGCCCCCCAAAGTACATGCGGATGACAACCAACGCGTTGCCGAACTCGCCAGCCACGAAGGGCAAGGCCGCGCTGCCGCTCGGCGCGGGAAGACTAGTCCCATACCTCCAGAGTACCGAACCCGGTGTGGGTTCAGTCCCGTGGGTGGTGCGGTATCACGCGGGCGTCGTGAGACCGCCCACACCGGCTAGAGCACGCCGCTGTCCTCGCACTCCCCCCCCCCTCACCCGCCTCTCCCCTCCGCTGCTCCAGGGGCGATCATCAAGCCGATGGCGCGCGACGACGCGGCGCCGGTCGCCGTCGTCAACTTCGGCGCCGCCGCCGCCCCGAGGTGTCACGAGGTCACACCCGAGATCGCCCGAGATCACCCGAGACCACGCGCGAGAAGCAGGCGCCGTCGGCGTCGTCCGCTGCCGCCGCTGCCGGACGTACGTCAACCCGTTTGTGACCTTCATCGACGGCGGCCGCCGCTGGCGCTGCAATGTCTGCTCTCTCGCTAACGACTGTCCGTCGGACTACATCTGTGACCTCGACGAGCACGGCGTCTGACCCACTCTAGTCTTCCTGCCCCCCCCTCGGCTGCGGAGGGCCTCTTCGTTTGAGGATCCACCGCGCCGTGACCTGACGGCCCGCGTGGGGGCCTCCATCCGAAAGCAGCACATCTCGCCGCCCTCCGCACGTCCCCGGCAGAGCCTCGCCTCGGTGGTCGGAGAGCCATCCCAACTGTTGGCCACGGCGCTCGAGGCGCGCGCCTTCATGCAGCAGCGCGAGGCGATCCTGCAGCTGGCGAGGCGACAGCAGCTCCTCATCCAAGAGCTCGAGCGGCTGCGCCGGTCCAAGGGTGCTGGCAG